TTTAAAAGGAAATGTGCCCTGACCACCAATATAAGCATTTGAACTTAATCCTCCTTTGCAGGAAAAACCATCTTATCTGGTGTGCTCTGACTGCTCATTTATGGAAGTGATCACAGTAAGGAGGATTTTCTATTTGCCTTTATTAACATTCATACCTTCATCGAGTTCAAATGCCATATCTGCTCAGTTTTGTATCCAAAAATCAGCAATTTCTAAAGAGTTTTATTTTTTTAATTGGGACTTATTTTTTTATTGCTCCTGTCTGAATTTTTGAAATCATGAATTGTTAAACGCCATATTATTTATTTAAACGTTTGTTCTTCTTATTTTGGCTAGTAGTTTTTTTTAATCATTGTATCCTCCATTTGATGGGTAAAGAAAACAGTATCTTTCCACAACTATATTTCTGAGATGAGGTATTATGTACACTAATTACATTATTTGGACTATTGTCCTCATCTTTGAAGCATGTTTATCACGTTTCAGTCATTGTACATTGAGCCTTCTTCAGATGGTTAGAATTTCAAATTGAACCCTTTATTTCGTCCGCATACAATGGCCAAAATGTTGTGATAAATATGGCATCAAAAATTAAAAATAACAATCGTGTAAACCCATTCAGCTTCTTGGGATACCACATGTTCAGATATTATATCAACAAAGGAATGTCGACTGTCTAAAAGTACTACAGTTTTGGCATCCCTTGTTTCATGGAAGGTTTTCTGCTTTTTTTTACTTTCTTTTTCTTTTTTCAAAGAGTCAACCTGTTTAATGTTTATTTAAAAACTGAATAAGAATTCCTGTAAGTTTATTTTCAAAAGAATATCTTAGATTTTGTCAATTTCATTTTAGGTAATCTTTTTTCCTAATGCTTTCCAAAGTTATTTAATGTTCTTCCCAAATGTGATTATTTACTTTTTTCATGACAAATCAAATGCTCATTCGTTGTAGCTTACTGAGGTGAGATATAAATTTTGATGTGTTTTTTCCTAAAATAGATTGAGATTTTATGGAACCTTGAACATTTGACTATTCTTAGCAAATGGAATTGATTTTTTTAACATTTGTTTTCTTTTTTGAAGAATTATTTATTACCCATAATATATATGAAACATTAAGGTGTGCATTTAAATATATCTTAAAGTTTCATACCACATAGACAATTTAATTTATGCTATAAAGAGTGTTTGTGTGTAAGTGAATTTAATAAACCTGACTGGAATTTGAACTCATTCTCTGATTTCTCATTCTGAGTTGCTATATCACCCATTGTATTATCCTCTGATTTCTAACTATTTAGTTATTCAGAAAAGAAATGAGAACATTTTGGAATGAAATAAAAAAGTGCAACCAGAAAGTAATCATCGTCACTGATAAAAATTTGTAAAACCAACTAAAAAGTCTCGTTCATAATCTCAAATTCTTTCAATAAGAAATAATTGAGTGTTGAAATAATCTTTTATTCTCCATTTGTTTAAAGGCTTTGCCAATGTTTTAACTGGAAATTGATTAAATAAAAATCTGAAGGTGCAAACTCAATTAAGTTAGGAGGATTCAGTAAAATAGTCTGTAAAATTGCATGCATAATGTTATTTAGCTCTTCAATGGTCACATCCCATATGGTTCACCTCATGTCCCCATGAATAAGGCATCAGTGTCAAGAGATGTCTTCCAGCCAAAGCATCAACTTGTTGGGATGATTCTTCTTTTCTAATTAAAGATCTTTTAGATAGCAGAAGAACTTAACAGGCCACCTTCTGTAACACCAATATTTAAGTATTATATTCAAATGACTGACCGTAAGACTGATTCAACTCCTCTACGTTAATCTTGGTGATAAATGTCTATTCGTTATAGGTGGGAGAGTCTGTTAACTATAGAATAGGTGTTTCCTTATAACAGTTTTGTGGCTAAGTATCTTACAAATTCCAATTTGAGTTTCTTTTACAGAGTCAACAATCCTTGACATACTAAAAAATCAACATTCTGTTCAATTATTTTAAGAGATTGTGGTTTCAAAACTACCATGAACTTATGGATGGTAGAGCTTCAAATTAGATGTTGACAAACTTAGGACAAGATGGAAGGGGTAAAGCAGATATTGGACTTATTGTTCTGAGAACTCTTTATTCAATCCATTTAAAAGGACATCTGGAGAATTTAAATCCACAAGGGGTTTTTAATGATAAAAAAGCATCAGATTTTTCCCACAAATATTTGCTCTCACAAGGCAAAAATAGAGAATTTAATTTATGGTTGCTACTGATAAGTTTCAGCTTATGAAGAAGCCTTTCTGGAAAAGGAAGTCAATTGAAAAATAATATTAAAAATAAAAAGTTAAAGGAAGTGATTTATTTTTGCCTGTTAAAAAAGAGATGGATTGTAAACAATTTGAAAAACCATTTTATACCTTGCTTGAAGAAATTGAAAAGTGAAAAAAAAGATTTCTTGTTTTCTTTTTATTTTGTCTGCAAATAACATTTTTATTTTAAATATACAAAAGAACCATGGTTGGAACTTGTGGTTAAATTGCTCATCGTAACTCAGTCCTTAGTATAGCTCCATGATCAAAAATATTGCACAACATGAGATTGGAGGCAGGGCATGGATTGAAACCCCCAACATTCAACAACTTGCATGGGAAAATACTTAAAACCAACTGGTGAGAACTGTTATAAAATTATAATGATGATTAAATTATTTAATTAGATAACTAATTTCTTTTTTACATTTGAATGGACATTTGTTTTCAAAAATGCATCTTTTCAAAGAACCTAAATTATTTTCTTTTTTCAACACTAAAAACTTTCAAAATGTGGATTTTTTTTAAATGTTATATATGAAGCCAAAAAATAGAACAGTTGGAAAATCCCCAGAGAATGAATAAAATTATCTGTCAAATCCCATGTATTTGTCTGAAGTGGCATGAAGATAAATGTAATTTTGTAAAGGTGAAATGTTATATAATTAACATTTAACAAAATTCTAACATTCTGTTATATAAACATTTCAAGGAAAGTTTTCAAAAATGAATGAAAAATGGAACCATTACCTTCAGTTTTTACTTCATGTATGTGGTTTTGTTCTCCATCATAGCATCCACGTCAACTTCTAGAACAATTGGCACTGATGATAGCAATTGTTGGCTGTTGATTGGTTGCAATTTTTGGCATTTGTTTCACAAGTTGAACCTCTTTGAAAATTGACAAAAATCAAAAAATAGTTGACTTAAATCCTATTAACATGGAAAAATTTATGTTATTATCAACAGAATCTTTCCTTCTGGATGTAATGAGATATTCTGTTGTGAAGGTAACATATATATATTATTCCAATAAGAAAAAGTACACTCCTGGTCAAAATCTTATCTCATTTTAGATAAAAAAGGAGAAATAAATTAAATTCTGATTTAATGTTTTTTGTTTTTTTAATTAGAAAATGAATATCAACAATTAAAATTTTTAAGATTTTAATTGAATAATTTTCACAAACATTGAAACATTTTTTATTTTTCTTTTTTGGTTTTGCCATAAAATCTAAGACCATATACAAAAAAAAATTAAAAAAATATAAAATAATGTTATTTTCAGTTCAAAATATATTTTCTATTACATTTACATTTAATTAGAAAAAATTTTAATTTATCAAACAAACAAGTGAACATTTTAACGCGGTTTCGCAACGAGACATTTAAACAAACATTAGCCGTAAAGAACCGTCATTGCTAACTTCATTAAATACCCGGATGCGTATATAAAAAAAAAAATCTTGACCAGAACTGTATATGTACGTGCTTTGATAATGTGAAACCAAAATCTGTCATCACGAGCCTGTGATGTGCGCAGAATCAGATAATTGTACCACCGTTCCGAGAAATTCCATAGAATCGCTAAAATTAGATGTAGATTGTTGAGTTTCTCAACTGGGACTAGACATATTCATGAGTTTGTTTGAACTACTGTGAGATTTGGTCTGCATCTAATGGAAAATCGCGTTCCCTTCCAAACAAAAGTTGAAATGGCTCGATGGAAGTAAGTTCCAACATGGAAGCCTATTGCATCTGGAGAATTGTTTTAGAAACAACGCAAAGATGATTCGGAAGTCTCTCCATCAGATTTCAATTGGATAAAATAAAATAAAGCAGCATTTCCAGAACCTTCCTAAGATTCCTTTGAATAATTTAGTGGGATTTAATATCTTTTGTCCATTCTTTCAAAACATTCAACACAGAAGTTTCATTGATAATTTTCGAGCAGATTTTTTAATTTATTCGAACTATTCTAGTTTTATTTACACTATTTGCATTGTTCGAACTGTTGTCCTCATTTTTTTGTGCAGTATTCACGAGGCTTCGGCAGTTGTACGCTTCGGCTTTAACGAATCAACGCATATGCTAGACCACAAAAATCTAAGCCGGCCAAGAATAAAAATGAATACAATATGGGAACCAGTAATACAGAATGCTAGAGAAAAACACTGAAAAAAAATCGAAATAAGAGTTCTGGTAAAAAGCGGTTACAGAGGTATTAGGTTTATAACTCCCAAAAATTCATACACTGTGGATAAAAGCGTTAGTTAAAGCCAGTGACTCAACCGAAAGTTTTGACTTCAATAGCTAGCAACAGATGAGGTGAACAAAAACGTGAAGTGTTAAAGGGAGATAACTGATACTAAGACAGCCGGAAGAGGATGGTACGTGGGACTAAAACAATCTACCTCGGTGGACGAGGTAAAGGGTTCAGTTCGAAATTCCAATCATCTGAAGAGGGCCGGACCGTACAACGTCCGAAACGTCATGAATATGATAACAAAGATGAGGACAACACTCAGAAGAATTTAAATAGTGTAAATAATTGCAATACCTAATCTCAGAAATATAGACTGATATTCTCAATTTGATCATCGTATGTTTTTGGCTGGTGCTGGGCATCATTTTTGAGCAGTGGCGAAGTTGTTTGACTATTTTGATTTGGTATGTTTGCACTATTTATCTACCTTGGATGTACCATCATATCAGATGCTGGGATCCACAAGGTGGTCGACAACAGACTGGCAAGGGTGAAAATTGGATTTGGCAGACTGTACAAGCGTGTGTTGTACAACAGACACCTGACGAAGAGTACTAAGATCAGAGTGTATTGTGCTATCGTCCTTGCCACTCTCCTATACGGCTCAGTCATGGGTCACTTACCAACGATATCGGCAACTCCTACAACGGTTCCACCAGCGCTACCTCAGCACGATCCTTAACATACACTGAAATAGTCTCCAATACTGAAGTCCTTGAAAAGGCAAAGATTGCCAGCATTTATTACGCTGCTGAAGGCAGATTGCTAGCATTGGGGCCACGCTTAAATAACAGTTATATAAATTGACATTTCCATGATGGAAATTCATCCCCTGCCTAAATTTTTATTTTACGGCCAGCTCTTCACTGGCTATCGCGGAAGAGAGGCACCAAAGAAGTGATTCAATGATTTCCTGAAAAATCCTTTGTTGCTAGTCACATTAACCGCTGCCAATGGTCAACACTAGCTGAGAATCGTGATGCTACCACCTTCTTTGAAAATACCTAAATGGCCGCTCTCTCCGGAACAAAGAGGCAAAGAGGAAGCTCGATCTGACGAGATATAATGGATTTAGACAGGCCAATTTCAGCTGCAAATACATGACCGTGTAAGAGTCCCACATTGGACTTATTTGTCAGAAAACATACCTGCAAGTGACTATGTGCAGACTCCCTCTTATTCTTGGGTTATGATGTTATTAATGAGATATATATATATATATTCATATAAAAAATATAGTCTTAAGGTGTGCTATATTTATGGGATAAAAAATATCAATATCAGATATAGAGCGTGTGTAAATATAAAAGTGAACATATAAGTCAACACTTAGAGGCGACAGTCTGTTTCATGCTATATGCAATCGTCAGGCCACTATGTTCACTTTTATATATTTATATATATATATATATATATATATATATATATATATATATATATATATTTTTTTATACAACGTGTGTTAGCACGTATATATACCCTGTCTTCATCAGCCGCCGACCAGGGGATCTCATGGTTTCGGTGGCTATGGCGGGACCGCCACCAGCAGCGTTTGCCACCAGGCAGGGGTATGAAGATAAGCTAACTAATTGTTCCTTTAAGTAAAATCTATCTGCAATGAAAGTTTTTGAACGCGTTTGCTGTTATTGACGCGCTCTATAAAAGTCGTTATAAAACGACCACGCAAATATCTCACTTGCGCATATTAGGTCGTGATGTTGCGCGCATTCTATTTGCTTGTTTTGATCTCGACCAAATCCAACTTGACGCGTGTTGAACAGTTTTTTGAAGGCGATGCGAAACGCTTTTCAACCAACGGCCAGTGATGCCTATTTTTGAAAGGAAGGAAATGACCGAATGTCCCAGGAACCCACGACACCCAATCTCAATAGGCATCACATGACACGTCCAACTATTTTCCATACACTCGGCACGCAGTGACTCGTACCAGTATTTCTTTAGTTCCATGCGCCTCCACCCTGTTCTCTTCCCAAGGGACTGTTAGTTCTATTAGGAAGACAGTCTTTACGAGTCAGACCACAACACAATGTCGGGACGCTTTGTCTGTTCATTGGAATACGTTATTATATTTATTTTCTATCCAAAAATTCTATAAGAATTACTCTTAAAATATTTTAATTGGATATATATTTATATATATAGATAAATTCACGTAAATCTAAAACGACATTTCAATATATTATAAATTAATATATATTATATTATATATATATATATATCTTCTCAAATATATTATATATATATATTCACATATATATATATATATATATATATATAACATGCTTATATAATATGAAGCAACGATATATATATAAAAAAAGGGGATATATATAGTTAATATCAAATATAAATATTGATATTAATATATAATCTGTTCCATCATATAATAATATTTTATATATCTCGGTTGTTTATACAGATATGTCCATAATATTCAATATATTTATATATATCATTATGACTAATTATTCATATAAATGATAATTTAACATCATTAATATTTAAAATATTCAATATATTTTAATCTATACATGAAATGTGTATGATTCTATTTTATAAATTTTGAATTATTGATAAAATATTCAATATCTGTAAGTAAATATATATATAAATTTGTTTATATATTCGACCTTAAATTATTCACATAATGCATGACATTTAAATAATCTATAAAAAAATGAATATAAAACATATAAGGGATTTTGAGATGATAATGATTTTATATAAATATCATATATTATCTTAATCTAGCTGGAGGAAGAAATCCTGATTCATACCTTTTCCAATGGTGTTTTGGCATTTATAAATATATACATAAACCAAAACACCATTCATTCATAATAAAACTGTTCAGAAAGTTTATATATTCATATATATATATTCATATATATATATATTCATATATATATATTCATATATATATATTCATATATATATATATTCATATATATATATTCATATATATATATTCATATATATATATATATATATATATATATTCATATATATATATATATATATATATATATATATATATATATATATATATATATATATTCATATATATATATATATATATATATTCATATATATATATTCATATATATATATATTCATATATATATATATATATATTCATATATATATTCATATATATATATATATATATTCATATATATATATTCATATATATATATATATATTCATAGATGTAGGTCTCTTACCAATATCACCTGCGATACTTTGAACTGTTCCACCAACGTTTCTTATGCACAATCTTTAACATTCACTGGAGTGATTTAGCCGCCAATATTGAAGTTTTTGATAGGGCAAAATTCACTAACATTGAGGCCATGCTACGCTGAGCTGGAAACGTTTCCAGGATGGCAAATTATCGCCTGCCAAAAATGTTTTTGTAGGGCGAGCTCTCCATTGGTTATCCCGACAGAAGGGCACGGAAAAAGCTATACAAAGATTGTCTGAAAAATCATTTAGTGCCTGCGATATCAAGCATTGTCAATGGTCAGCCCTAGCTGAGAAGGGTGATGACTGGCGTCTCACTATCAGCGATATTTGAAAATACCTGCATGGCCGCTCTCGGGAACAAGAGGCAGAAGAGGAAGTACTGCAAAGCTATGGTATTGTGTCCAGGCCAGAATTTCAGCTGCAAATACTGCGACCGTGTATGCCTGTCCCACAGTCACAAACATACCTGCAAGCGACATGTACAAGGTCCCCCTCTTGATCTTCATTTTGCGAAGCGAAGCCATGATTTACTCTATTTACATCTTTGTTGTTCTAACGTCGAACTTGGTCAGTACCTAAATGGGTGACCGCTTGGCAGTACCAGGTGCTGTATGCCGGGATGTGCGGGTGATGTAATCACTAACGACTCTGAATTGGAGATCGGAGAGCAGTTATTCACTTAATTAAAAGTACCCCCACCCCCGTGAAATGTATATGTCATCTCCTCGGCTATCGGTTCACTAATAAGACCTTTATCAGTAAATCATTATCATCCAAAAATTCTTCAAATTAAAAAAAAAATGTTAGGGCTTTAAACAACTTGCAAACGGATGATAAGCCGTAAAAGAACAGCTCCATCAATAAATTAGTCTATCTTAATCACAACGTTGTGGCCGCTATACTCTCCGGCTTCATCAGGTGTATATCGATCCGGCTAACCTACAGAGAATTCTGAGCTGAACCCTTTATTTTACAGGAGATTGCGGCCATATCACGTTGAAACAACGGTTCCTGTGAGATCACCGAAGTTAAGAAACGTCTAGCTTGGTCAATACCTAGATGGGTGACCTGGTGGGAATACTCGGTGAATGAATTTGCGGGTCATGTAATGGATAATGGCTCGGAATTATTAATCGGAGAGCAGTTTCAATTCTATTTGGGGTCATTTATATCGACTTGTATCAATAAATTATTATTATCTCCAAAAACATTTCACAATCTAAAAATATTTAAATAACCTGCAATGGGTTGACAAGAAAACGAATCAATCAATCAATCGATCGATCAAGAATTTAAGCGGGTAGACTGTTTTCATTCCACTGCCCATATCCGAGAAGATTTCGCTTAGTTCTTATATTAATCAAAATTTAGAGAAAATGGAAACGAAAAAGGACATTTATAGATATTATTAGAACGATACATCTGAAAATTTTAGAGCACATAATGAGAAAAGAAGGCTTAGAAACGTTGACACTCACAGGATACGTTAAAGACAAAAGGCACAGAGGAAAGGGGAAAATAACCAACCTTGTTTGGCAGAACAAAGGTTAGAAAAGATAGCAAAAAGACACATTGCTATGAGCTACAGAAGAGAGGCAATTATGGAGTGTCATGATCGCCCACATCCTGAAGGAACACGTTACATTGAAGAAGTCAGAAAGAGATAAAGAACTAGAGAGGAGATGAAAGAGAGAAAGAATGAGAAAATATATAAAAAAAAATAAATGGAGAAAGAGTGAGGTGGAAAGGACATAGATCGGAGGACGGAGAGTGCAACATTGAGATCAGAAGGTGTATTGGGATGAACAAAGATGCCTTCCAAAAGCTAGCAGAGTATTAAAAAAACAGAAAAACTTCATTCGAAACAAAGAAAAGAGTAATGAACATTTCTGTGGTAACTATCCTCCTATATGGCAGTGAATGCTGGACAATCTCCTCAAATAGGAGATTTGAAGCAAAAAAAATATGGTTCTACAGAAGATTGAGGATACCATGAACCGAACATGTGAGCAACGACCAACTTATATATATATATATAAAACACATTCTCTGTGTGAGTTATTAGTACATCCAGGAAGGCCAGCTGATTATTATTTTCTTCTTTCCTTGTGAACTGGATTTAACATTATATTGAGTTCACATTGTCCAGCGGTATTTGTATAGTTTCCTAGTCTGGCCAGAATATGAAGGTTTCGTCCACGTATCTCGGCCATATTGTTTGCTTTTAGTGCTGCCATTGCAAAGGTAATTTCCATGTATATGTTCGGCATCACTAGTGACAAAAGAAATCCAGGGGTTCCCCCTGTTGGTAATTCTCAAACTAATTGGAAAAATATCTGTACACAGAACGTCAACATTCCCATCACATTATCTATTGTCATGTTGCTACATTTTGTCAGGATGGGTGTAGATGCCAATCGGTTTCGAACCATTATCCGTAAGAACTCTACACATGCTACCACATCCATACTTACCATCCGTTGGTATGGATCGCACCCCCCCCCTTTCGAATCAATCGAAAACGGCAGCACTGTATAATTGCACTGATATCACCCCCAGTGTATTCATTGCACATTTATAAGCCAATAGATCTTATAATGCATTATCTTCCTTTGGACATGATTCGTAACAATCATTTCTTGACACTAGAACCGAACAAAAGAATCTCTACCTAGTTGTCGTTCTCACTGCTCGTTCTCTTCATTTTATCGTCTGCCATTTTGTAATGCAGGTCTATTGTTAATTTCCCAAGTGTTGGCTGTCGTAGTCAAGTGTGTAAAGAGATGGTTAGGCTGGACAGTGGATACTAACAAGCATTTCATGATAAATTATTCAGTAATTTGTGAGAATAGTGTGAAACCAGGCTGGCTGCAAAAGAGTGGAAAATATTTATTGCTAATGTATGCATATATTTGCATTTCTATGAATAACAAAGCAATTGACTGAAGTCAAACGGTCACACATTATACACTGAGCGTTCGATAATTCGGTTTTGTTGATGCCATAAAACGATTTGGGCGAGTTGTATTTGATGACCGTGTGGATGTTTCAAATAGTGTCACTAAAGTTGAATATTATTTCCTTGCATATTTCTGAGAGGAAATTTCCGGAATCACGTGCTTCCAGTGTTCTTTGCAATAAATGGCAACAAATATCTTTCTACATCAATTCATTCGAAAATATTTTTGCTGATCTTTTGCCGAAGAAAAATGGAAATTCTCTTTCCAATAAAATAACTGCAGTGAAATTACACCCTTAAGATATGAAAAACGATTTTACGATTGCTGCCATTCTGCATAAAAAGATGCGTTTAGTTGATTTTTTTTTTTTTTTAAGCTATTACGGATTTTACATAAATGATTTAAAATGACTTTCACATTGGTAAATTCGTAAGATAAACACAGACCTGGCAGTAGGAATAGAGGTTTAGCGACACTGTTTTTAAATAGTCCACTTCTCTTTTGATATTCTTTCTGAAATGTTTAATCCTGTTAAGATTTTTGAACCACTAAAAGATATAAAATACAGACTCTTGTTTCATTTTTGTTTGTTTTTTGTATCTTTTTTCCTTTTGTATAGTATCTCTTTTTTTTCTTTTTCATCTCTCGTCCCCTTTTTGTTTTTATTCTCTATCTCCGTCCGTCCCCCTTTTTGTTTTCTTCTCTATCTCCCGTCCCCTTTTTTGTTTTTCTTTTTCTATCTCTCCGTCCCCTTTTTGTTTTCTTCTCTATCTCTCCGTCCCCCTTTTTGTTTTCTTTTCTATCTCTCCGTCCCCCTTTTTGTTTTCTTTTCTATCTCTCCGTCCCCCTTTTTGTTTTCTTCTCTATCTCTCCGTCCCCCTTTTTGTTTTCTTTTCTATCTCTCCGCCCCCTTTTTGTTTTCTTTTTCTATCTCTCCGTCCCCTTTTTGTTTTCTTTTCTATCTCTCCGTCCCCTTTTTGTTTTCTTTTTCATCTCCGTCCCCTTTTTTTTGTTTTCTTTTTATCTCTCCGTCCCCCCTTTTGTTTTCTTTTCTATCTCTCCGCCCCCCTTTTTGTTTTCTTTTCTATCTCTCCGCCCCCTTTTTTTTCTGCATGTACTTGAGGATTAAAGCATCTCTGCCTAAACCCACCCACATCCCAAACTCTGACAAAACCTCAATTTTTTTTTTATGGAAATTCCTTGCTGGTTATGTTATATTAGACTATATTTCAAGCCGCATAAATATATATAAAAAAAAAATCTCCAATTTTATATATATATATATATATATATATATATATTATAAAATTTTCGTCAGTATATCTACAGAAAATAAATAATAAATTAATAGAAATATTTTTTTTACACCGTGAAATTCTTCTGATCGATGCAGGCAACCTACAATCAAATTCAAATTGCACACTTTAAATCTATAGAGGTGATGTAGATTAATTTGTAGCTTAATTAAAGAGTTCATTTCGACATTTTCTGAAGATTACAAAAAAAGAAAATAGAAGGAAGTAGAGCACAACGACCGAAACTTTGTAATAAAAAGAGAAGAGAACAAAATAGTCTGAACGTAAATAAATATTTATTACTCAGATATTTTGTCGAAGGTATGAAATTCATCGGTAGCTTCCGTTGTCTTAACCATCTTGATAATGTAGTAACAATTTCTGTACATGTTACATTTTTACGTCCTCAGTTCGTTAATTTATTGCATTGTTTTGCGTTTGTTCTATTTTTTTTTTTCTAATGGTCCCAACACCTGTAATTATTGAACTCTATCGACAGAAGCTGAGTGAAGACAATTTGTAAGTGATTGGAATTAAGAATTTTGTTGTATTTTTCCATCTTTTTTTCGGCACAAATTATTGACGCGAGTCGATGTTGCATTCGCGGAACGTGTGAATTATCTTAATTGAAATATTGGTAGATATTTTTTCCGCAATCGAGTTATTTGTTCGTCTTCCGAATGAAGATTCAACGTTGTCAAGGTTGATGATAGCTGCAAGAGGTAACAGCTTTTAACCTGTGAATTTTCTACTAACTGTATTATTCCTGAGTTAATCACCTCAGATTTCCAAGAACTTACAAATACCAATTCTTATAGTGTTAGAATTATGTAAAATATTGTCGTACTGATAAAAAAAAACATAACATGACAGAGAATCTCCGTTAGAATGTGCATTAAATCAAAACTTGAACTGAGATATAATTATTCATTGAAATGAAAATTATAATAAATTTGTTGCATACACATATGTTGTAAATTGTAGGTGATACACACTAATACAACGCTGGAGAAAAGTTTTTATTCGTCAAAAATAGAGAATATATTTCCATAAATGACAATAAATTTGTTGCATAATTGTATGTTGTAAATTGTAAGTGATACACACCAATGCAATAATACAGATACGTTTTATTCAGTAAAAAATAACCACAATATATTTCCAGAAATGGAAAGAATAACACACACATACAAACATATACATACATACATATATACACACACATATATATATATATATATCATTCAAACAGACTGCTCATCAGTGACTAGACATGTGATTGCTTCAAGCCTGGATCGAAATCCGACCCATTTGACATCTATTGGACTCTCACTTTTAGGCCATCAGCGCACGCGGAGAAAGAATTTTTTAACGCATTATAAACGAGATATAAGCATTACCAGCTACCAGAGTGCTCAAATTCATAGCGAAGTGCTTTTAACGTTAATTAGCTACAGCCGACAAATTCCCCTTCTTCCAATGTGCTCAGCCTCCGAGATATATAATGAAAACTTACTTTCCGTTAATTTTTTTTTTTCGGGGAGGGGGTATACTTTCACTCTACCTACGACAAAGCGACGTCTGGCTCCCACAACAACTAAGCTGCAACATCACCACCCCCCGTCCCCGTGTTACACATCCTGAGTCAGGAGAATAGTGAGAGGGACAAAAAGAAACAAGTGTGAACTAGAAATTATGAGTACTTTAAAATTGTGGGGTTAAAACACTTCATGTGACTAACTCAGGGTTAAGAAAGTTTAGTTTAGGGCAATTCCTCAATCGTAATTGTTGGCGAGACAAGTTTGCTAACCACTGCGCTCAATGGGTTATTTAATGCCGACAAGATTTTTATTGCTGGTAATTTTTTTTTTTTTTTTTTTTCCAAAAATGTATTGCTGGTATTCTCTCTTTTCCAAAATGTATTGCTGGTATTAAAACCTATTTTTACACTTTCATAGGGTTTGGGCCCCAGTTTAGGGGTTAACTATTTATCTATAGCTGAGACCCTAACAGGTGCTACTACCCCGGGTCAGGGTGGATCTGGGAACATCAGCAATTAAGAGGTGGTTTCACGCTCCTCAAAACCTCCTGATCAGAGGCGTTGCTGTTGGACGTAGTTTATCGTCTTACCCAGGGCGGGGTCATATCTGGATTGAGTAGTGATATATGTATAGAACCAATATAATGCTGGTATCAGTTCCTTTCCATATGGTTTGTGATTTCGTCCCGACAATTTAAAGAAAGAAATATTGGGGCGGGGCTTTATTTTTTGTTTGTTCTTTTTGTTTGTTTCTTTTCTAGAGTTTCTTTTGATGTTTTGTATGATTTCTATATTTAAAAAAAAAAACGTTAGTTTCCGAGTTCCATCATTCATGAATCTTGAGTTCAGAGAAAAAAAAGAGAAATATAAGATTATGCAAATGATGAAGTCTTTGAGTGCAGAACCAGTTTTCGATTAAATTAGACGCTGTTTGAATCGCATATAAATTTGAGTTGAAAGAAAAGGTTTTCTTTCCTTTCTCCGCCATTTCTTCAGCATGTCTCGCTTGCACGACGTGTACCTACTTTCAGATAATTATTCATCAGCTGCACGAATGGGTCTTTTCCGTTACACTGTAATAAAGCGTGCAAAAACTTCAAAACACGGAATGCGTACTCTTTGACCTGTCTGTTTCAAAATAACTGATATGTCCACTTTGTAGTATTAATTCTAATTACGTAGGTTAATTATTAAACAAGGTTTAGCCTATTGATCATTAGCTAAGAGTAATCAAATGTGAATGTCGTTAGGCACCGTATATAATTTACAAATGCGACTAGATAGAATTTACCAACCGAATGAAAGGCGAAAAGAGTCAGCTCGAGAAGTGTGCTGATCTGACAGCAGTATTTTAAAAAGGCGCCATCATTTCTTTTTCTACAGGATGTCTTTGAAGACAAGACGTATTTCGTTCCTCTTTGGTAGACCGTTTGCTCCTCGGCATGATAGGATAGTGGGTGCATTGCAGTTTCCTTCACCAATTATATGAACAATTAATATACAAACAATTACAAGAACATACTTTATTGTCTCAGCAAATCTAAATAGAAGGCATAAAAGAAGATTTTGAATGAAGGTGTATGTGTATAGTGATGTCTGTATGCGTGCGTATGTAAATTTCTTGTCAGAGACCGACATTTGAAGAGCTCTGCCAAACAAGTATAGATAGGCTTGTGTGTAACACATGAGAAGGCAATTATGAACAAGACACGTCTTATTGATAAGGCATCCTGTAGAAGAAACGATCACGCCATTTATCGTTAGCAAAGATAGTTTGGCAAACAAGTGTGGTCATGGATAAATATATTCACTCAAACGATATTGGTATGAACGTTCAACAACTGTTCTCTCTGTCTTACTGACTTTCTCTCTCTTTCTCTCTCTTTCTCTCTCTTTCTCTCTCTCTCTTCTTTCTCTCTCTCTCTTTCTCTCTCTCTCTCTCTCTGATTGTTTCTCTCTCTCTGATTGTTTCTCTCTCTCTCTGATTGTTTCTCTCTCTCTCTCTCTGATTGTTTCTCTCTCTCTCTGATTGTTTCTCTCTCTCTCTCTCTGATTGTTTCTCCCTGTTTTCGTAACGATTATTGATCTTTGAACTAATAATTTACAAAAAAAATGACAAAAATGATGAATCATGGCATAACCTCCTTATATAAGTATTTTTAATATGAAATAATCATTGGGTAGTTTTGGAAATAACTTTCTTTTGCCCGCATATTTCTACTTTAGGACATTTTTTTTTCTTCCGCTCTGCATTTTCTCCCTATTTTTTTTTTTATTTTCTTGGGATCATTTCTTTTTATTTCTCTCATAATAAATTTTCCTCATTTCTTACAAATTCTGACTTTATTTACCAGAATCATTTCATATGTTGAAATCTTTCAGATTTCCTTGTCAACCAACATTAAAACTATTTTCGCAATGGACATCAAATCTCTCTTTCCTTCTTGTCACCTGCGTCTATATGCCGCGTTCCTTTCGGGGTGTGATGTATCATGGCTCTTCACAGCTTCCTCTGCTTTGTATCTCTAAAGCCTGTCTTTTTGCATTTTCACTTAATCTAAATTCTGTCAACCATTTACACACACTTTCTTATTAGGTTATTCAGGTTATCTATTGGTATACTAATCCATTCTCCTAATGATGACTCGCCTTCCTGGATGTACTAATATTCCGAACAGAACATGGGTTCAAGACATCCGTATACCGCATGCCTACATTCACCGGGTAATATCTCAACTTCAACTCCGACCATTTTTACGGTTTAAAGAAAGGGAACTTCTGCTGCTTACAATATCGAGCAAAAGTCATAAGTGGCGACCTAGACACATATGAACAAGAAATGGCCAGTTTCAGTAATACCCTACAACGTAAAAAATACCCTGGGTACATGGCAGCAGCTCCGACAAACTGAGAGAGAAGGGTACAAGAGGATAACATCATTTAGGGTAGGCAGACCGAAGCTGTTTTCTATGTGAAGGGATGATCGGAAAAATGCAAAAGATCTGTGGTCCATATAATAATTAGGACGACATTCAAAAGTGTTTCAACACTTCACAGACACCTCTTCCGAGTAAGATCCCCATAGAGGAGAACAAGACTAAAGACTGTCTGTACGCCATTCCATGCAGCTTTTGTAAAAAATATGGAGGAGCAGCAGGCCGCCATCTTAAAGTAAACTGCAAGAACATTGTAAAACCGTAACAAGAGAAGAAATAGAAAAATCGGGCATCTTTGACCATATATGGAGGGAAAAGGGAGATCACCGAAATAAGACATAGT